AAAACAAGGCGCAACCTTCATTTCTTACCTGAAAGAAGCACGGATGTGGGGGACACTTCCACTTGCTGGCAATCTGGAAGACGCAACCCTGAACAATAAAGAACAGTGATTACCAGAGGGCGTGTGTGAAGGGTGGGAGCGCCAGAAGGGGTAGACACGTGGTTTAGCCATTAACATCCAGTCACTATAGACTGTGCAGGACCAAGAAGAGGTGTACGCTGAGGCCTGGGAGATGATGCCTCCACTGAGCTTTGTCATCTGTAAGCACCGCTTTGTAAAGAGAGCCTGTGCACCACCGAAGCTGCTTTAGAAGAGAAATCCGTTTACAAATGTAACTGTGTGATATGAACTCCCACCAAAAGAAAACTGCAACGCCAACATTCATTTCACACAGAGTAGACTTCAGAACAGGGGATGTTACCAGGGATGAAGAGCTTGAAGTACTTAAAGTACTAGGCAGTGATGTCTGTTTGTAGTTATACAGTTTAGGAGACCTGGTAGTCTCGGGGCTGGTCCAGTGCACACTATGTGAAAATTCACAGTGTGAGTAGGACAGTAAAACCTTCACTGTTGCCAAATGAAACTGGATATAATGTTAACAGTTGTAACTTTTCTTTACGAACTTTCTTCTACTCACTGCATGTTTTTCCTATTATTTCACAGATGCATGTTGACACATACAGGAAGCATAGTCAGACTTGTCATTTCACTGATAAAACCAAAATCCTTGAAAACGCTCTGGGAAAATATGAGCTATAATGAAAGTTCCATTGCTCTATATTTGCAATGTATTTTTACAGGTGTCCTCATTTGTATTTGCTGTTGCTAAAGGATACATTTCTAGAAGTCACAGGTCTCCTATTATTAAAATTTAGCAACTGTGTTATTTATTAGTAACTATCATTAAAACACAAGGGAGCAGGAGGCCCAGCCTTCCTAGCATCCAGGCACACACTTGTCTAAAACACATACTTGGTTTGGAATTTGATTCGAACAGTCTGAAATAAGCTTATATTCCTAGTTGCATTATTTCATGAACATTTGAATATGTTCAATATTTTCTGTGCAGGTCCTCACAAGAAATAAAAGTAAGAGAAAAATCTTTCCATTATTTTCCTGGAACGATATCAAAATTTCCTATCTGCCTTAACACATCTGGCCTTGCTCTCTTCAGAGGAAGTGAGTGCACAAACTCTAAGTAATCCCTGGGTACATCTGTCTGCAGCCCAGTGATGAAGCACTCAGATCAAATTCCATTGTCCTTCCCCCCCAACCAAAATACATTTAAAATGGAAAGTACACAGTGGGTGTCAGCCTTTCTGGTCAGTTGTAGTTTAGTGGAGACCCGCCTTAGAAGAAGGTGGTGGTGATGGTAGTAGACCTTGCAAAGTTCCCCTGTTGTAGAGTGTGTAGACTACAATGACGGAAGGATTTGGGGGTGTTGTTTGGTTTTGGTTTTCTGTAGAAGTTACACTTCACTTTGTCAATTCTGTCAGTATACATTGTTAGTCAGAAAAGCTAGGGACAGCAACCCTGATCCTGTTGTAGCATCCGCCTTGTTGTCTTCTGAGACTGGTAGCTAGGAGCCTCCAGTGAGCATCATTTGAGATCTGAAGGTTAGTTAAAAGACTTCTTCCCTGTGACTTAAAACTGACTTGCTTCAGACAGTAGAAGTGGGAGACGCTACTCTCCACTCTAGTTGCACCCTGAGTGAGCTGAGCAGCTTTGCCCTTTGGCCAAATGACCGCAGCCTAGAACTAAACTGAATCCTGATGCTGATACTTTCTAGCCTCAACCCTAAGTTGAACTCTTGAACCTCAGCATGGCTTGCATTTAGGACTGCTCATTCTTTGTACTATCCATCCTGAGATACTTGAGTCCTCTTCCTCCACTAGAGACAACTAAAAACTAGCAGAGTTATGTGGGAGGAAGGGCCATTAGGGAGCCTCATGTTGAAGCAAGTTAGATGGCCTCTTGATAACATCTTAGGTTTTGGTTTTGCTTTTAAATATTTTTACATATTTTGGGTATTTTCATAGCTTGATCTTAGTTTAAAAAAAAAAACATAAAAATAACCAGGAAATTGACTGCTACTTTTGAAGTGAAAGCAAAGGGCATGGTTTTTCCTTGACTTGAATTTAACTTGGGGACCTTTCAATGGTGAGAAGTGTTTTAGTCCAGTAGTTCTCAACCTTCCTAATGCTGTGACCCTTTAATACAGTTCCTCATGGTTTGATGACCCCCTCCCCCACACCACAAAATTATTTTCGTTGCTACCTTTGCAACAGCAATTTTGCTACTGTTATGAATTGTAAAGTAAATATCCAATATTTCTGATGGTCTTAGACCCCCCCACCCCCCCGCTCTGAAAGGATTGTTTGATCACAAAGGAGTTGAGACCCACAAGTTGAGAACTGCTGCTTTAGTAGGTCAAAGATAGTTTAGCAGGTCAGGAATCTGCATGCCAGGGTGCCAGGAGTCACGATGTAAATGCATTTCTTCATTTAAAGCAACAGGCAAACTTGTAGCTGCTGGCCTGGTAAGTATTTGTTCTCTGCCTAGCTCCCCTTTCCAGCCAAGCTGTCCCAAACACATAGGTGATGGCAAATTCTGTCTAGTTGGGTTAAATTTATCAGTCTTTGAAATGTAAAACGTTCAAGAATGCTCACTGCAGCAGACTGGAGAGACATCCTTTTAACTTGGGTTTCTGGTGCACATCATCTGCTTAGAGAGGAGGGAGTGCTGAACTCCAGCACATATTTTAGAGCATTCTTGGCACACTCCTGTAGACTCGTTGGCTATGCCCTCCCTCCCCCGACACAAGATTCTGAAAAAGAAAAAAAAAAAGAACAAAAACAGACAGCTCTATGTTAATTGCTTTCGTGATCACTGTGCATGTGAGAGCCCTATTTTCACCAATTATTATTTATTTTGTTAACCTTAACCCATTTTTAATGGTGGGAAGGACAAGAAACAAGTTGTGATTTTATTGAAGCTTTAAAAGGCGCATGAAGACTTCTAAAAATTACTCTGAACACTCTGCTTGTACTGTCTTGTAACATTCACTTTAACAATCCCAGGCTGAGTGACAGCCTGCAGGGAATACATGAACTGAGATGCTGCTGCATTACAGTTGTGCAGGAGTTGTCAGAGCTCACTCTCGGAATTCCATCAGCACGTCCAGTCACCACTTTTGCTTTTGCATATAAAAAAAATAACAGTATATTTTGAAGTATTTCATTATCAGGGGATTGCTTTTAAAATATTGAAACACTTCCAGGATTCAGGCTAGTTTCAAATGTTAGAATTGTTTTAAGGTAGTTGTTTTGCCTTTCTAAGGGCAAAAGTTACTTACATTTTGGTTGCTTATTTTCACAGTGAAGGTTTTTGTAGCCTTATGATTTTACTTTAGATGATATCCAGAAAAGATTCAAGGTATCTTATGGTAGCTTCAGGAGGAAATTTTAGGGGTTTTGTTGTTGTTTTTTCTGTTTGTGTAAAAGCCTGTTTTATTGTAATAATTCAATGGGTGTGTTTCATGCCCACATTTGCTTCATTCTCCCCTATGCCTAGTTCTTATGCATGCATGAATGAAAGCAGGGGTCAAAAGTAAAGTTTAGTATTGACTGAAAGCCAGACTTTATATAGGAAGTGTTTGTACAGGAAGCAGAATTTATAGTATCAAACTCAAAAGTAGACCAATGTGCTGTACTACTGTGGATTAGATAATAAAACTTTGCCAGCAGAAGACATGTGTTATTCCAAGTATTGTTAAAGGATTTTGGGAAGGAGTTGTTCCTTTCTGGAAGTTAAATTGCTTTTTGATAAATTGAAGTTTCTTTATTGCATCCAGTTAATAACACTTACTTGGTGTCTACTAATTGCTACATGCTACTAGGCTGCTAGAGTCTTTAATCTGTTCTGGTGAATGAGATCAACAGTACATTGTTAGATAATAAATCAACATGATAGAATTTACAGCTATTCTTTTCCATAATAATTAACTTGAAACCCAGAAGTATAAATTTTAATGTTTTCTTCTATAAGTTCTATACTATTCCAAAATGTGATAATGAATAGCTCTTTTAAAGGAGAAAACCCCATTATTGAAAGGATGCATTCATCATCCTGTTAAAAAGAGGCTCACTGAATCCCACTTTTACTGAATGCTGAACATTACCTTGGAGCATAGCTAAATCTTTTAAGTGTACATTTAGTTAATGACCTGGACACTTGATTGAAAATCATCTCTGAGAAAGTTAAGATGCAAACACATCATGTTTCCAAACAATATGCTATTGCTAACACTTTAATGCTCAGTTGCTGAAGAAACTTCTCAAACAGAGCAGTCCTGTTACTAAGATATTAAAGTCATTTCTTTCTTACTCTTCAGTAAGCCATTAACCTTTTGTTTTTTGTTTTTTTTTTTTTTCTTTTTTATTCTAAGAGATATAAGATTTGGGAAGAGAAGTTAAGCAGTCCAATTTCAGTGGAATGTAGAATTAAATGTCATCAAATCTTGCTTTAATGCCTTGTCTATAAGATGGCCAGTAGTCTGGGACATCTTAGTGTGCATTAATATTTTCTAAAAATCCTGCTGCAGCTCACAGAGACTTTAGCAGCTTGTGGTGTTTATAAGTCATTTATATTTACCTTGAATGTTTGCTATAAATACATGTTGATATTCTCTTAGTGGTAGGATTTATCATGGTACATATTTAATTACTATATAATTGTAGTCCAAATGGAAATTCCTTTGAACTTATAAATTATATTAAGTTTAATTTTGTTACATTGTAGATTTTGACCTAACTTGACTTCTTGCTCCGTGTAGTGAGTAGATGTGCTCAGAACTGAGTCTTCTGCTGTATACTTTGTAAAGGAAGTACTGGATTTATAAAATATGTGATCTCATACATTGCTAGAAGTCTGCAGAAGTCCTGATTACATGTGAGCTTAAGGTGGGAGAATAATTTGTCTGTCTGTTTGTTTGTTTTAAGGTGATGGATGTGGATACACTGTACTAGGCCCTGAGAGTGGAACCCTCACATCCATCAACTACCCACACACCTATCCAAACAGCACTGTGTGTGAATGGGAGATCCGAGTAAAGATGGGAGAAAGAATTCGCATCAAATTTGGTGACTTTGACATTGAAGATTCTGATTCTTGTCACCTTAATTACCTGAAAATCTATAATGGAATTGGAGTCAGCAGAACAGAAATAGGTAGGACATTGATGCATGTTATGTATCGTTCTCTTAAGTTTTAAAACTGAAACTTTTTTTTATATTTAATATTGAATAACTGGTACATAAAATGATGTGAGAAATTATAGGAAATGTAGAAATCTCAAATCTAATCTTCTTTTGGGAAGGGGAGAGTCTCATCTGCTTATTAGCATATGCTACCTTAGTACAAAATGGACATGGTTACCTTCTTATAAGATGAACATGGTTACCTTCCTGCAAGGTGCACATGGTTACCTTTTTGCAAGATGCCAGGTGGCTACCTTTCTGTAAGATGCATATACCACTTCTTTGCAAGATGCACATGGCAACCTTCATACAAGATGCATATGGTTGCCTTCATGTACCATGCACTTGGCTACCTCCATGCAAAATGCACATGGTTACCTTCTTGCAAGAGGTGTATTGTTACCCTCATGCAAGATACACTTGGTTACATTCATTCAGGATACCACTGTGCTGCTTCTAAGAAAGTAGAAGTTAATTATCTTATGTTTTATGTTTTCCTTTGATCGTTTTATTTATAGTCAGAGGGTACAGATATAATTCATGCATACTCAGGAGGAAGTGTAGCATGCAGATCGTGGATTTAGAATTGAAAATGCTTTGGACTAAAGCCTAACCAGCTATAATCTGTTGCAAGCATCTAACCTGTTTTCTCACATATACAAAGTGCCTGTAATAGTGTGTAATGCATTGTAGTTGCAGAGAATGTAACAGTGATTGTATTTCCAGTGTAAGACCAGTAGTTCTCAATCAGAACTGTGCAGCAGAGTCACCTGGGGGACTTAAAAACAGACCTTAGACCTGCTTTCCATCCGAGACCAACAGATTGAAATTGTGTGAGACAGAAGCCTCGGAGTTATAAAAGCTCTCCAGGAAAATCAACTTTGCCGCCAAGATTTAGAAGTTTGGCTTAGAGTTCAGTACCATTCTCTTAAGAAAGCTGAAGACTTTATGAAGGATTTAGTGAACTGACACGAAGTAAAGCTCTCTCTTGGTTTCTCTTGAGTTTGTTTGGAAGCATGTACTGGAATCAATACATACAGCTTTCAGAATTATAATAGGAGGCTGGTCTCTTGTTTTTTTGACTACACCAGCTTGTGGTCATTCCCCTGACCTCTTCATCCCAAGCTACTTGCTGGCTACTGGTTGGTACCCTCTGTTGTCACTCCGAAAAGTCTTGATTAACCTGCCACTCGAGTAGTCCCTGCATACCATCCTCATATGATGTTGGATAAGGTTGTGAACGTGGGAACAGTAGGGCTGTAGTACCACTGGAAGACTGTGGAGAGTACCTTCTGAGGACTCAGAGTAGACACAAGTACTCCGTGAGCACAGTGAAACAGCAGTGAAAAGGGAGTGCCAGCCTACACTTTATAGGCAAGAAGAGATGGGAAAATAATTCTACATACCCTCTGAGGGCTAAGTTAATGGGGAGGTTCTGTAGAAACAAACGGCCTCCACATACAATAGCATAAAAAAAAAAAGAAGGAAAAAAAGGAGGAGGGGGCTGAAAGTAATGTTTGGGTCCTGGTTATTCCGATTGAAGATAACTAATTTTAAAAAGATTTTTTTTCAGTTAAATTTTGAATTTTGTTTAGTTTTTAAATTTTTTTATTTGTTTTTAATATGTTAATTGAAATAGAATTCCATCACTTCTTTCTCTTTCCTCCCTCCAGCCCCTTTCATGTGCCCCCCCACTCTAGGGTACAGCTTCCCTCCCCCACCCCCGTCTCTGTGTGTGTGTGTGTGTGTGTGTGAGAGAGAGAGAGAGAGAGAGAGAGAGAGAGAGAGAGAAACCTGTTGAGTTTGAGGCTTTTTGTTTGCACATATATGGTTTCAGGGCTGACCATTCTGCATTGGATAACCAATAAGGGGGTGCATCCCTGGGAGAGCTTAATTTTCCTTCTTCCAGTTGTCAGTGTAGCCTGGAATTCTTTGTCTGAGGTAGGACCCCCACAAAATCTCCCCTTCTACATTAAAATACCCATTGATATTTCTATTGCTCTGGTCTTGTTTGTGCAGCTGTTTCTAGGAGAGACTGTTTCACCACATTCCTCCTGGAACTGGTTCTTAGAACATATATGTCCCATCTTCCAAGTGTTCCCTGAGCCATAGATGCAGGAGCTGTCAGGTAGATGGAACAATTGGGGCAGGGCTCCCCACCATCCCTTGATGTCCATGTGTTGTCCAGTTGTGGGTTTTGTGATGATATCCATTTTCCATAAACAGAGGCTTCTTTGATGAGAGATAGCTACACTTACCTGTGGGTGTAAGGCTAAGATTTAAAATGTAGTCAGAAATCACACTGGTCTAGCAAAGTGTCAATGGTGCATTCTTTTCTAAGATCCATGATCTCACCTCTGCAAGCTGGCTAGCTTTCTAGGACTAGGTATGATTTTCCTCCTATTGAGTAGGCTGTATGTTCAGTTAGGCAGCTGTTGGCTGTGACAGATGTGTGAGTGATACGTATTGCACCTTTATTCATATATTATATGCTGAAATTAATGGTCCTGGTTCATAGACATTGCATCTGGGTGGGACCGTTTGATTGCTTCACACCCTTGACAGCTTGCATAGAATATTTTCTCAAAGCATGGACACAACATCATAGGAGAGAGGTCAGATCAGGTCAGGTCAGCCTGAGTCATCTGAGTCCTGGGTCTTAATGAGGTATCCAGAAAGGTAGTTCAAAGCTTATTAGAGAAGTTTGGTCATTCACTGATAATAAAGAATCTTTTAGAGGTGAAAATGGTTTAAAAGTATTTCTTTGAAAAAAGGCGCTGGGGAAGGGATAGGCCAAACAAAGGGGTCAAATAGGAGCTAACATTCTAATATTTGTGTGTATTTTTGGAAGTTTTGATGGTAACTTTTTTTTTAATAAGGCAAGTGGATCCTGTTTTTGGAAAATGACTTGTGACCGTGTGGCTAGGGAGGAACAATGGCATGGGAGACACTGGAGGCATGGGTTTAAAATTGTTCTGTCTAGCCAGCACTCCAGAAGCTCCTTGTGAGAGTCCTTCCCAGGAGCTATGGGCCTGCCCAGGTTTCAGTCATCCTACAAACCTGTAAAGGAGTGGGATGGAATCATATTCGACCCCGCTGACATGAGATGGGTGTCTAGTGGTCTCAGCTTTCTCGTATTCCCCATTCTGTTTGCTTTTTTCCTCCCCAGCTCCACCCTTTGCACAAAGTACAAAGCTGCAGGAAGGTCAGAGGGCCAAGTAATGATGGCTCCTGCTGAACCTCAGCAACGACATGCACTGGTGCACTGGCCCTCCATTGCCACACAGTCTACGTTAGTGGTAGGGATGTGTTTCCTGACCCGACACAGAGAGTAATGACCATTTCAAAATAACATTCTGGTCAATGTATCTCTGCAGAGGATTCCAGGAGAAAGGAGTGCATAGGCTCTTCAGGGTTCCAGTGATATAGGTTCGGAGTCCTTTATCCTTTCCAGTCTTCCTGGCCGCCCCTTCAAACACAGAGGCGGGTCCAAATACATTTCCCTGTAACTAGCACCCATTTCGATCCTGGAAATTCGGTTTTGGGTTTTATAAATGTTAATTTCATTTTCCCTAAAAAGTTGTGGTCTGGTACCATCAGTTAAGTGAAACAAATAGAAGTAGAGTTTCTAGAGGGATGATATCTTCAATCATAAACTCCTTAGGATGTGTTCAACAGATAAGATGTATTTTGCAGCTGCAGTTATTTCTTGTTTCCTTGTATATGTTACTAGCAGAATGATTTGATTTCTGAGTTGCTAAAATGTGAACTTTTTGAAATAACTCACTATAGTAGAACTCTGAATAGAAACATTGATGGGCATGTGGTGTGCTTAATGATAGAGCTTGAAGTGGCTTTCCAGATCCGATTTCTATCTCCGCAGGCTATATTAAAATGAGAAAAAAAATTAAGCCTTGACTTATAATTTTTTATTTTTTTTAATCCTTAATGTAAGGCATAGAATATCTTAGATTTATCTTGCCTAGATCTTACAGTTCATTATTGTTTTAAGAAATCTTTTGTTCTGTCGATGTAGAATATAATTAGAAATCAGTATCCTTTTTAGGTCTGAAATGGTGGCTTCCATGCCCTCTAAGCACAGACTTTGTGATTGATGTATGGTTATGCATAGATCTGTATGTGGATGTATCTGAAAATACTTGTATGTATACATTACATTGTTTTTTGTTTCTCTAACTGTATTTATTAAGGATATTGATTTCATACCTGTTTCTAATCTTTATCTAATACTTATTGGGTGGTTCATTCCATCCTTTTCTGTGTGTATTGTAACTTACTTCTCTCTAGCTCTCCTTGTCCTTTTGTTCAGTGCTCAAACCAAAAAGTTCAGAATTGCTGAAGCTTTGCTTTGTTGGGAGTGTTTAGCTTTTTGACACTTTCAAATGACATTGTCCTAAACAAAGTTCATATTCAAGAGCTGTACAGTGGAGTTACAAAAGCAAAACTCTCATAATGTCTTAAATAAGATCCTGGAGTGTGAGCTGCAGGGTGGCCATACCTGTGAGACACTGCTACTTACAATTATTTGTCTGGAGTCTTCCCCTGAGGGAATGCTGTCTGCCCACTGTGTTTAAGAGGGGGTGGGGAGGAGAAGGAGGGAGAGAGGGAGGGAGAAAGAAAGGAAGGAAGAAAGACAAGAAAAGATGAAGAAAGAAATGCCCTTCCTCCTCTCTCCCAGACCTTCTGTGTGGTGATGTTATGCATTTGAGGTATGCCTTGTTTGATTTATCTGTTGTCTTAAGGATTATTCAGAGTTTTGGTATCTCCCACAAAAGTTTATTTTTCTAGAAAAGCTTAGAGAGAGCTTTCTTGGTGTGCTATGCATGCTTCCCTGTTGCTCAGCAACAGGTCTGGTTTTACACATGACACGCCTCTGCTTTTTAGACTAACTTGGTTGTCATGGAGACTTCTCACTATCCTTATAGAAACTGTGAGCTTTAGAAGAACCAGGACCTTCAAGCAACACCTTTGTAGGAAATTTTATCAAGAAATTCAAACAGAATGTGAAGTTCACTTCTAGCCAGAAGTTTGTTGGTTTTCCAGAAGATAGCTCTTTCTTGTTTGGTCTTTAGAGGTAGGGTCTCATAATGTAATCCAGGTTAGTCTCAAGCTTGGAATGATTTTCCGGCCTCAGCCTCCCAAGTGCTGGGATTACAGGCATGTGCCACCAAACTGGCTTTCATAAAATAATTACATTTATTTGTGTGTGCGCACATAGGTAGGGGTGTGTGTGTGTGTGTGTGTGTGTGTGTGTGTGTGTGTGTGTGTGTATAAGCATGTGCACAGAGGTCAGAGGAGGACTGAGTTGATTTCTTTTTCAGCCATGTAAATGTGTAGGACCTAACTCAGGTCATCAGACTTGACAACACCTGCCTTTACCTGCTGGGACATCTTGTCAGGCTCAGAAAACACCTCTTAAACCACTGTTAGAGTGGAAGCTTCAAAGGGGAGGGGCAAAGCCTACTCCCCACAGTGTGCTGGGGCAAATATCTATACTTATGACATTCTCCTCTGAAGGTGGGTCTTCGTTCAAGCTGCTAAAACTAAAGCTAAATCTCTTCTTTAAAATCAGCTTTTCAAGCACAGTATGAGAGAGATCCTTCTAGTTCCTGTTAGTCATTCAAAAAGTACACTAAGCCACCAAAAGGGGGCTAACTTGTATGAATGTCCTACGCTCTGACCTCTGAACACAAAGCCTTGAGCCTGGAAGGATGAATTCTTCAAACCGCTGTGCTGATGGGTGCTGTTTAATGAGAGAGTGATCTGCATATCTCCCGACAAGTGATCGCACAGTGGCCTGCTCAACCTGAGAGGACCCCACTGTGCATTTGCTTTGAGGGTTCACTGTGTTAAGCCTTTGCAATGGTAGCACTGTGCCCATTGCACTTTATCATGGAGTCCCTTGCCCTGCTGGTAGTGTGCCCAGATATCAAGGTCTCAGTGATAAATATTCAAAGCATTTCCTTTGAGAATTCTAAATTTTGCTTTAGAGTGTGAGGTGTTCCTATTCTAGGTTCTGAAAGATTGTCCCTAAATCTGTTTGCTTATAAACTGAGAGTAATGTTCCCTAAGCCGACACTGCCTCCCTCCAGTGTAAGTAGACAGTTGTGTGCTCCCTCTCTGGGTCATCCTTCTGTGCTCTCACTTCCGTCCTAAGGAGCAGGTCCCTAAGAGAATCAGTTATTCCAAGGTGCCCCTCAGTACATTGAGTTGAGAACACAATTCAAGTTGGTGGTGTTGTTGTTACTGTCATATATTTAGTACAGTTATAACCCAGGCTGTCCTGGAACTCATTTGTAGCTCAGGCTGGTCTTGAAAGAATGGCAGTACTCCTACCTCAGCCTCTTAAGTTCTGGGATTACAAGGTATGTGTCACTAGGCCTAGCTCATAAATCCAGGTGCTTAAATGCAGTAACCACGTTAACTGCAACGCTGGTGTCTCTGAGTCGCATCGAACTTTCCTCTCCAAACACAGCATTTTGTTTTAACATTGTCAGAGCTTGTTACCGCTCACCTGCTCAGTGTAGAAGACTGGAGATGTTGGAAGAGTGGTAACTGTTAGGCTTCTACACTCTGCACAGTTGGACACAAACTCACAACATGAACCGGGAATGTGGAATAAATGAGTGGAAAAGTCGGGGCAGTGGAAAGATGATGGCAATGTCATGGTAGTAAATGGTGTGGAGGGGACCCTGGAGGGTGACTTGCTGTTCCAAAGACATGGTACTCTGGTGTAACCATTGCTCATTTTTAAACTCTTTTCCTAAAAGTTCTATATAATGATAAAAGGGTCCCTTTAAGCACACTATGACTTCCTGGATGCAGTTTTCCACATGGTTTAGAAATAACGCAGTTAAGGCACACAAAGGTAGCATTGTTACACCGTTAGGCAGCGTGTACTGAAGATGAGCCAGAGCCAGAATGTTTGCTAATTTAGTCAAGGGTGATGCTGGTGATGGGAAAAGTCAAAGGTTGGCGATGTGGGAGGCAGGAAGCACTGGACACTCTGCCCTCGGAGTCCTACTTCAGAGCATTATCAGCTCCCTTCCTAGAGAGTAATCCGTGGGAGAAAAAACAGAAGGGTTGAGAGAGCAATGGAGGGGGGGGATAGTGTGTATCTTCATATTACTGTAAAAAGTGTGCTGTAGGCGTAAACATTGGATAGCCATTTCTCAACTTTCGAGAAGCTCCAAGTCTGAGGTCCAGTGACAACAGATTTGGTGTGTGGCAAGGCCTCTTCCTGGTTTCTGTTGTGGTCTTCTCCTGTCCCCTCAATATGGTCCTCTTCTAACGGTATGATTTTGTCATGAGAACTCAACTCCCAGGGCTTTTTTCTTACCAAAGGCCTATCTTCAAATGCTGTCACAGTAGGACTGAGGTTTTCAACCTAAGAATTTGGGGAGGATACAATAGTCATTCTGTGACCAAAAAAAAAAAAAAAAAGGTTCTGGACTGACTTTGGCACTAACTTGTAATCAGTTTAAGTGATCAGGTTATCTGCATGAGTTTTCAGTTAAGACAGTTCTCTAATGGTCTCTAATGGTCTCTTACTTCTAAACAGCATCTAATTTTGTGATCTGTTTTTTCTTTGTATAAAATTAATTCATTTGTTTATGTCTGATAATTTGACTCAATAAAACATTGTTTTTATGTTTCTTGTATGAACCCTGTTAGGTATTTTTAAATTAGCCTCTTTTAAAAATGTCTACTTTGAGTTCACGTACATGTGCAGCTGCACAGACTATGCTAAAATTCAGATCTAGAAATTTCAGGCCTTATCAAAAGGTCCCCATGTACCTGCCTATTGAGTGGGTCCAGTTTGAGGGAATTGTGAGGAATGTGCTGTGGTGAGGAATCTGGAGGTGCTGGAGGAACCTTGTGAGAACATTGCTGACTATTCACTTATTTGTGTTATCACCCTGTCTAGAACGCCTGCTTCTAAAACTATTTCTCCATTGTTTTGAGGTGGATATATGTGTGTTTTACAGAAATTGAATCTCTTAAGTTCAGTGGAAATCGGTTTTTCTTTTGAATAATTTAAATGTTTATCACTTGTCATGTAGTTTTCCCTCATAATAATATGACTTTTCTAACCTAAGTTTTACTAATTCCTTTTCATCAATTTAGTAGCCGGCGTATTATGCTATAATTACTGTGCACATTATAAACATTGACTTTGTAAGAGTCACATATACATGTGTTTTTTCACTCCTAGGCAAATTCTGTGGTCTGGGTTTACAAATCAATCAGTCCATTGAATCCAAAGGCAGTGAAATCACAGTGCTGTTCATGAGTGGAATCCATGCTTCAGGACGGGGGTTTTTGGCTTCATATTCGCTTATAGAGAAACAAGGTAATTTTCATTTTATTCTGGAGCACTCACATTTCTGTCCTAATAGCATGGAGGAAATTATACACCAGAGACCAAACAGATCAGGATCTGCATTCTAAAAATTGACTGCATTAACTTCTGTCCGTGTAGTTTCTGTTCCTTGGTAGAGGAAATACTAATGTTTCATTGTTGTGATATCAGAACACAAACTGTCATAATTTAAAAGAAATCTGTGAAACATTGAGGCAAAGTGTATCAACTTAAAGGTTTATTATCTACAAGTTACAATGTTTCAATTCTATATTAAAGGCCATATTGTTGTTTACAAAGACTTGGCTCTCATATTACCAAGAATTCCATGAGAAGTGCTGAAATAGAATATAATAAAGTTTTTCTGTCATTGTTAGTGTTTAGAATCTAAAGGAGGCGTGGGGTCAAAAACAAAGGTATTAAATAGAATAGGATCCAAACCTTAGTTGTCTCTAACAGGAAATGCAATGTCTATATGAAGTCTGTCATGTCCTTTTACTGCTGTGGCTTGTATTTCCTCACTATTATTAGAGGCACTGTGAAGAGGACATCTCAGAAGTGGTGTTCTTGGGAGGATTATGGAACAGTCATTTGCATTTAGATGGTTATTCTTATGTTCAATAGTAACTGTTCTAAATTGACCATTTGAATGTAAAAATTAGCTTTTGCTTCAAGCTGTTTGAGTATAAAACTATCAAAACCATCCTAAGTATGAGACTGCTGAGCTCTGGGAACAACTGAGGGCAAAGCAAACTCTCCATCTTATTTGGGGTAACTTTGAGATGAACACCGCTTCCCACAAAGCTTCATTTAGAACTTGCACACAGAAGAAAGAACTGTGCCTACTTGGAAGGGAGTCTACTCTCTCTTGGTTTGTAAACCACTGACAAGATGTGAAGCTAACAAGCTCAGAGACAATGAGAAAGGTTTAACTCATTTGAATGAAATGCTGTGGGGAAAAGAATTAGAAGTGTCAAGTCAAATGAACAGATAATGTTTTGACATAGTAGGAAAATTAAGACAGTTATGGTGTGGGAAGGGCACTAGGTGTTATCATTTCCAACATTTCTGGAGTTTCATGGCTACACATATGGCCAGCCTCATTCAGGCAAATGCTTAAATCACTCTAGGTGTTGGCATTTCCAAGGTTGGTTGCACATGTGCCAGCAGCATTCAGGTAAAGTGCCTAGTCATCCCAGGTCCTTATGTAACGTATGCACATGTGTGGTTTGGCTAGATAAGCTCCTATATAAATGGGGTTGAGCAACCTTTAAAAGTAGACAATCGCCACGTTTCTTCCAGACAGGCCTATGCACATCCCCTCGTCCTTTTCCACCCTATACTAATAAAACTCTTAGAGTGAGTTTTGTTTTATATTTTGTGGTCTGTTCTCATTGCACAGCAAATAACACTAGGGAGGCTTCCGTTAAAACTGGTTGGGTGTGGGCATACACACTCCAACCCAGCACTCTGGAAACTGAAGCAAGACAGGAGGCTCACAGATTTTGAAGCCAGCCCAACCCTCTTTCCAAAACCAAAAATAAAAACAAAAATAAGCCTGCTTTCTGCCATGTGTTGCCAGATGATCTCTGTCATGTCTCTTCACCTCTGTGATTTCTGTCTTTGGGGGTGTCCATAGACATGGTACAGGAGGCACACATGGTGTTCTCCCTACCCCAAACTGTGAATACACATTTGTATTTCCCTCCATCTGATGGGTGATGTGGAGGACACAGAGTTGAAAGAGTTTTGTCATTTCTTTCAACACATGCTGTGGACACCTCAGGTTGACAGGCGAGAAGGTAAGAAATAGACAGTTGACTGTATTTCTTACTCACGTGAAGTTCCTTGGGTTTAAATTCCCATTTTGATTCATATATTCCAGTTTTCTCCTCACTGCTTATTAAGTGCAGGGTTCCTGAAAATAAATGTCTGCATTTTTATTACAAAAGGTGGTATTTTGCTTTAGGTATTCAAATCATGGGTTGTTGCTGTGTCTCTCTTGGTGGTTTGATGTCCTTACATTAAAGTTCATTAAAGAACACATTGATATCAAGTCAGAGTCTCAGATGTTCTCAATGATCTCACGGAGTAAGCACATTGTAGATTTACAAATCTATTCCAAATTAGAGATAGGCTCCTTAGGAACTTTTTAATACTAAGACATCCCAAAATGACAGTTTTGAATAACCCTAATTCCCAACTGACTTCTGAAGTCATGGTTTTTTGCTATGCCCTGTCCCATTCATCATTCATCAAACATTTGTTTAATTTGACTGAATTTAGTTGGATAAGACACATTCTAGGAAACACTGGTTGAATTTCTTATTTCTTCTTGGGTGGCCTCTCAGTCACAATTTTTTTCTAGTAACTCCTTTATTCAGAGGCAGTTTAGCTTTGGTTGAGATCTCTGTTTCCATCCAGGAAATTTAGCTGCCACTATGAATTCCTTAAATATCTGGAAGGATTGTTGCTACATGTTCCTAGCTTAGGGGTCTAGTTGAAATTTAGAGTAATGGGGATTAAAATGTATGAACAGTCTTGAGTCAGCAGCTACTTTGTTTCTTATAGTCTCCCACAAAGACTTGACAGTGTTCTTTGTTATATATTGTGTTTGTTATATATTGTGTGTATAGAGTTACAGTTTTGTATAAGATAGAGTAGTTTTATTATTTGGTATCAGAGCCCATGCAAAGTTCTGGTCCCTTTCATTTTCTGCTCTAGATAGGTGGAGTGACCTGACTAGGTTTGTGTTTTGTTTATGTCAGTTACCCTTGGTTGCTCTCTGAAAGGTAGATGAAATAGAAGTAAGATAGTTGTAGGAAGACCAATGAGGAGGCTGTTAGAAGAGACCAGACAAAAGATGATTAAATTAGGAGGTCATATGATACAAATATTAGAGTAATGTAAAGATGTTACAGTCAGACTCACCTTCTACAAGGACACATTTCAAAGAATTGGGATTCATTTTTCTTGTGATTTAAATTGTAATGAGAGGCTTTGCTCGTGGCGAAGTTCTCTTGAATGGCACCTGGAATTTTCAGTGCCCAGGTCATACTGGAACCTTTTCCTAGCATCCACTTCCAGCTTTGTGTCTTGTTTTTAAAATACCATGGGATGTTATCCCCTCCCCTGTCGTTTTTAATTATTAGTGAACCATAATTTCTAGCCTTTTTCTCCTTTTACTGTGAAAACAGGTTCCCATTGTCCCCTTGCAGTGGAAGGTGAACAGCGTAGATATGGGGGAACAGCACAGCCTGAGAGAGTAATATTAGTGGCTTTCCACTCCTGTGGTAAAACGCCATGGCCACAGCAACCTACAGAAGAAAGGGTTTATTTGGGTGTATGTTTTCAGAAGGACAAAGAAAAGAGTTCGTGAGGGCAGAACAGAGATAGGGCAGCTAGAGCTTACATTCCCCACCTCCCAAAGGAAGAAATGGGTCTATTTTAGCTCACAATTCCAAGTTGCTGCAGGCATGAAGCAGAGAGAGCACAGGCAAAATGGCATCTTTAAACCCTAGGAGCCAGCCTCCAGCGACACATAGCTCGCCCAAGGCCTCAGCTCTTAAACCTCCCCAGGTATTCAAATGCCCAAGACTATGGGGACATCTCACTCAAACCACAGTATTGCTACTGTAAACTGTCATAATCACTTCAAATCTCAGCTGGAAATGGGGATTTCTGAAAACTTAGAGATTTGTGTGAGCCCTTGAGGTATGCTGAACATATGCGCAAACACTAATGAAGGTAGTCTTATAGAGAAAAACTCCTGAGTTAACCACTGCTTTAAGAGAGAGTGTGTGTCAAAACCAATGCCTCTCAGAATTAATGGCTCAGTAACTCAGGTCTTTCAATCAAGCTTGATAATAAATGCTACTATCTTCATAAATAAATTTCAGTTTAAAAACACCATTTAGTGCTGTAGAGATGGCTCAGCAATTAAGAATACTTGTTACTGTTTCAGAGAGCCCCAGGTTGATCCCCAACACAATGTTTCATAAGCATCTCAAACTCCAGTCCCAGGTGATACAACACTCTTCTGAGAGCTGAGAGCAACAGGCATGCATGTGATTATATACGTACATGCAGGAGAAGCTACTGTAAAAATCCAATTACAAACAGCATTTAATTGGACTTGAAAAATAAAATGAATTTTATAAATGTGTGATCTAAATTTCTGCTTTTGAATCTCTTCAATTCTGGCCAGTTTCTAGAAGGGTTCTCAACAGTGGATTTTAGACATCTTTTGCTTACATTACATAGCCATTGGAAGTTTCAAATCCTTCAAAATAGTATTGTGTTCCAAAACTGGTGGTGTGTGGGTGGATACAGACAGCCAGGATTGGAAAATGATAACGCAGGCACGTTTTAGAAAACATTGAATCAAAACTTTAAAGGTAATACTACATTATTTTCACTCTTGCCAGAAATTTGGAGTGGATAGCCTAAATTTGCCTTTATTTTTCTGGAGGAAAGTAGTGAACAGTAAATTGCTTGTGACACTGAATGGTCGGGTAAGGATATGCATTATCTTTCTAGTGTGAACTCCCAAACACGTGTTCGTTTGTTGCCCCCACCCTAGAATTTGATGACAGTGTACCTAAGAATTCTGAACAGCTGGGCCTGAAAACACCCGTTTGAGGGGCACTGTTGCAGTATGCTGAAGTATTTTTAGAACCAACACCAGTGCCATAAAATTTTTCTGATTGGTACTTTAACTACATATTTTTGTGCACATTTCCCATTTCTTCCATCTCACATCAGAATATGTAAACCTGTGACACATAGGGCAGAATAGATTTTTTTTTTTTCTAATAGAGTGTGAGTTTCTGTTGCTGGTTAATTTTTTTCTTCTATGTAGTGTTTTTGGTTTTGAATTTAGGGTGTGAATTTTTCAGATCGCTTGCTGCCTTGAGTGTAGTGACAATACAGAATCTGTTTTGTGTCAGGTTCGGCTCTTAGCCCCATTTCTATTTGTAATTTCCAGGCTG